CAAGTTAGAGAGGTTTCATGTGCGACCTATCATTCCTATTCCCCCTTCTTTAGCTGGAAGATGGGTCTGCGCAACCTTGCTCCCAGCTTAACCTTACTACCACAACGGACCTACGGTGGAGGTTTCAAACTCTTAAACAATTCAGTTTCAAACTCCCGTCCGTCCTCACCAAGGATCTTTCCACCGTAGTTCGCCCTTCTTCTTCTTGCCTCCAGCTGCCATCGAAGCTTCTTTCAACTGCGCCAGCTTGGCCTCCTTCGAGGTTTTGAAAAGCCTGAGCTCCGCATCCAGCTGACCCGCCTTGTCGAGAAGCTTGTCCATGACCTTGAAAGGCAGCTTCTCGAAATCTACCTCAATCCTGTTCTGATCCTAGAAATCATCGAACCTGTCATTGGTGAGGTCGTCAGCTGGTTGGTTTTGCGCCCGAGGCACCCATTGCAGCTGCAAGTCGATGCCGACAATGTCCAGTTGAACCGCCAGCTCCATAGCCACGATCGACAACGGGTACCGGCTGGAGCCGTATCTCCTTAGCACGTGGGTGTTGGCCAAGTTGTCAGTCAAAGCCGTCAACGTCACGGCTGCACTTCCGCTTGCCCAAGTAGAACTCGGAGCCAGCACCATGACTGCCACCAACACCCCGATCAGTTCAAGGGTGGCTATATTCCGAAAGGGGTCACCTTTCAGATAGGCCCAGGGCGCCACCCTTCGGTTCAGCCTGAAGGAGAACCACTTCGCAGACTCCGTGTCTGGAGCCGCGCCGGTCTCCCAGCCGCCGATCACAATGTCCTCTCCTGCAGCCTTGGCATCCACACGAAAGATGTCCACTGGATCCTTCTCCAGCGGCTCAGCCGGCCGCATGGGCCTCCTTTGAACCTCCTCCTTCACGAACTCCAAGAGGATGATCACGGCATCTGGCAGCTTGGAGAACGTCCCCGGCGAGAGAGCTGATGCCCAAGAGAACAATGGGGCAAGAAAAGGCCTCACATGTCGTAGCGCTCCAGCCACAAAGCTTAGTCGCCACAGCACCGACTTCAGCTCTCTTCCAACCACACCGCCCTGCTCCAGCTTGTTCTCTATCCAGCTGACTATCCACGTCCTCTTAGACAGGTTGATCCCCTTCTGGTAGGTGTGGATGTTCAAGCAGTAGCCAATCCAGTTTACCTCTGTGCCTCCTCTGACCTTCGCCCAAGTGACAGGTATCTCAAGGAGCTCGTACACGAAGAACCACATCATCATCCTCCGCCAGAAGTCCTTGCCGACTGCCGCCAGCCAACCATCATCCGCATAGATCAAATGCAACAGCCCGAAGCGCCGACCCAACAATCGGTGACTGCACCTCACGGCCACTGCAATGACCCTTCCAAACCAGTAGGCGGCGCTGGCCACACCGAAGGTGCCCCTCGTGTGCACGAAGATGTCCCCGGACTTGTCACCTGGCAACTTGAACGCTTGAAGGCCCCAGTCCTGCTCATCCACCGGTATCAACTTGTGAGCCCTTGCTATGTCGTACAGCAACGAGAAGCGAATGCCTCCCCGATCTCTGTCGACCTCTGCCTGCACTTGCCTCAACACGGCCGCGGCGTCGTCGATCAATGGAAACCTCATCTTGTCCCGCACCCTGATCCTGCGGTTGACGTCCACGCTGTACGCGCCGTCGTGGATGAGCCTCACCTTCTTGGTACCGAGCTCTTTAGGCACGGCACCTAGGGCTGCAACTGCCAGTCTGCCCCGGAACCTTCTCTTGGCTTCATGCTCCATCATTCGGACTATCGTGCCGTTCTCAACCTCCTGAAGGACCTGTCTGGCGATGTCTTCCGCGTTCTCTTCCGCGGACTCATAGTTGTCTGCCAGAATGTCCCTCATCACTTCGTCTGTGGCATCAACCGTCCATTTGGTCTTCTCTTCGTAGACCAGAGGAGTTCGAGGCATCTCCAAATCCACCCCGAGCCTGACTCCCCTCTCGGCTACCTTGCCCAGGAACTCGAAATCCTCGTCCTCGAGGGCCTCAGCTAGTGCCCGCAATCTTCTGAAGTTGATCTCCGAGTGCCGGTCTCCTTCTGCACGACACGGGCTCAAGCCCCATCGACCCAGATGCTCATCTAAGGCCCTTCTCGCCTCCGCCATCTCCTCTCCAAACGGAGACTCCTTGACCTTCCCTGCCGCCATAGACCAGAAGATCTCCTTCGCCTTGTCCGCTCCAATCGTCGACAACCAGGACTCGAATGATTCTTCAAACCACGAAATCGTGGCCCTCTCTCTCTCCGTGACAGGCAACCTCCTCTTCCCCACCGGCCATCGACCAGGAGAGCAAAGACCTGCTCCATCATGGAGGGCCCTGGTTTCGCCCTTGTAACTAACCTGAATGGGCGGTCCAGAAGCTGGGGCCACCCTCTTCGAGCTAGACTCCGCCTCCACCTTCTCCTTCTCTTGCTTGTCGACCTCCGCCAGCTTCCGTTTTAGCCCTTTCTCTCTACCTCCACCTGGGTCCACCGGCTTCTGCTTTTGCTTCCCTTCCACCTCCCCCTCTTTAGCTGGAAGGGGAGCATGAGCCCATTGCTCCAGGATAGCTTGGGCCAAGGCGGCATCCATGGCCATAGGATAGATGGAGGTGTTCGATGTCGTGTCTTCTCGAGATCTGGCCAGTGTAACCGTGGTGCGACAGGTGCACTCGAGAATGGGCCCCACGTAGTTGCGATAAGCATCGAAGACTGGCCATTGGCAAGCGCCCCATTGCTGAAATGCCTGGAGGTTTGTGATGAGGCGAGTAGGCTTGCGGTATGGTGCCCCCCAGCAGCACTGATTGAAGACAACCGTGAACAGATTCAGGGCGGCACGCTCAAAGAGAAGAGCTCGCATGCGGTGCAACTGCCAGATGGAAGCCGGCTCCATGACCATGCCGTCTTCTTCCCGCCGAATCACTCCAAGATCCTCAGGTGCTCTCCAAAGATAATAATTGCTCGGCCGGAAGCGGCCACTGGGTGATCTCCCAAGGTCTCAAGCACCTCCAGCATGAAGACAATGAGGATGTTGCCCAGCTCTGCATCCTTCTGGTGGCGTGACGACAACCATGGAAACCCCCACGGGTAGTCTTTTGAACGAATCGCTGGTGGGCCTCTGCAGTTGGCTCCCCTCACCCGTGACCAAGTTGAACACGGAGGTGTCACCAAGACCACCTCGAACTCTCCTTTCTTGATCCTGTCAAGAAGTGCCTGCTGCACGGCTCCCTTTGTCAAGTCCCAGTCTGGAGAGTTCTGGATATCGACCTCGTGCACCTTGCATCGAAGTCCTTTGTTTTGGCAAAGGTCTTGCAGCACAGACGTCACTGATGACTTCCTTTGTGCTCCACTGAAGAGGTAGAGCACGTTCATGACCTCCTCTTGACGTGTGCCCCTCGTTGTGTCCCCTGTCACCGGCGGATCTGGGGCCGGATCCACCTTCTCGCGCCGTCAGGCGCCCTTTCCTCCTCCCTCTGAGACTCCCCCAGAGGTATCCTTGCTCTTGCCACTGCCATCGCACGCGTGCATTGGACGCTGACCGAAGCAAATCTGGCACGCGTGCAGGCGACCACAGTTGAAGCGGCACCTTTCCTTGGGATTGTTCCAACGCCAGCAGATCTGACGTCCATCCGGGGTGCGGTCATGCAGCTGTTTGCCTCCCTTCTTGCCTTTGCCTTTCGAGCTGCCCTTTCTGGACTTGCCTTTGCCCTTGTCCCAGTCTCGACCACGTTCTGCTCCCCATGGACGTTCCGTTGGTGGGCTCCTGGATCTCCAAGGCGGCTGCCTTGCATGCCCTGCTACCTGGGAGTAGACATTCGGTGTCAAGAAGTATCGTTCTTTGATCGTTGTATCCAGCATGGACTCCTTCAAGGCCTCGTGGAGCAGTCGACCTTCGTTCGCCAACTTGACCATGGAGCGCCTCACCTGAAAGTCATAGGAGAGGACCAAATCGAACTCCGGAGATGCCACTGTCTCTCCGTCCTGGTTCTTAGCCTTGAGGCCCAGGACATGCTCACCAAGCATCAGGTCCAGGTACTTCAGAAAGTGCATGGGCTGCAAGTCCCGCAGGATGGCCTTCTGCGGGAACTTCAATTGAGCCAAGAGGTACGAGTGGGAGACCACCGCCATGCGGCGCCTAAACTCCTCGGGCGTCCTGGGCTTTGGACACTCGCCATAGCCCTTCTTCACCTTCAGTGCCCCTGTACCTTTCTCAATCGTGGCGCCCAACACGTCAGCCTCCGAGTCTTCTCGGCTCACGAACTGCACCAAGCTCATGTTCTTCAGTTCGCCTTGCTCCACCTGGTCGAAGATCTGTTCCAAGGTGGATGCGGCAGGCACACTCCTGTCCTCCAGCTTGATGCCATGGACCGCCTCGAACTTCGCCAGAAGGTCCTGGATCTCCACTTTGTTCAAGGCTCTAGCTTAGGCTGACTTGCCAGTCCCGCTTCTGCCTCGGCCTTGTGCCTGACCGTCATCCTGGTAGACGAGGACTCCCATGAATCCACCATTGAAGCGATGTCGATGACGTCGTTCGTCTCGTCCAAGCCCAAGACGTCAGCACAAAATTTCCTCATAGCAGCTCTGTCGTCGGCCACTGTACTCAACCGATTGTACGAACCTTGGCCACCGACAGCTTGGCTTGTATCGTCTCGCTGACCTCCTTGATCTGCAGCAAGCCATGAAGATCTGCGTCCAGCAGCGCTATGGCGTTCGCACGCCTCCCCGGCGTGTCATGGCCGATCTCCGGCCCCGGCGCCGCTGCTGGTCCAGCCGCCCCAGCCATGAGTGCTCGCGAGGGCGCGTTCCTCCCCCGCGAGAAAGGGTCCCCCCCGCTTACCGGTACGGCCGACCCCCTCGGGCTGGAGCCCCATCATGAATCACATCCACCTGTCAGTTCAACTCAACCGGTACGACTTCGAAACACGATGCACACGCAACAAGTGAGGCAACACAAGAAATCACACAACTCTTTGTCGTGCTCTAGCACTCCCTCTCGCCTGCACCAGCAGGCCTTCCTTCGCCTGTGCCCGGCTTTCTCGTGCGAACTGCATGCCGAACACTTCACCTCTGTGCAGATCTCTCCCCCCTTTTCACCGTGAGTCCTGCGAGTCTCACGACGATGCCTCAACTTCCGACTCCATCGAATCCGATGAGTCCACCTCTCCAGAACTGTCGTCTTCCAGAGAGCTTCCTGCCACGGCCGCCCCTTTGCCGAAGCAGTTCTGGCATGCGTGATGGTATTTGCTCGGGTCGGGAGGTTCATCTCCCAAAATCTCAAACTGTGCATAGTGCTCACCTGGTCTTCGGTGGCACTCTCCTACTCGATGCAGCATTCGCGTTTGCGATCGCCCAACTATGGACACCACGAACTTGCCTGCCACAGCCTCCGCCGGCACCACATCATCTCCTGCCACTGGCCCCAGCTCCCCTTCGGACTCGAAGCCAGCATCACCTGTGTCCGTCGCTGCATCGTTGATGTCGCCTGGATCATCGGGCTCCACTAACACCACTGGACCTGATGGGGTCCACTTCGGCCTCCAGCTCGCTTCATCAGCTAGCTCCTCAGATTGAAAGCGATGCAGCAAGCCCGCCTGCTCTTCCAGTGCTTCGTCCGGATAGCCCAACAGCCCCATGCGCAGCCCTACGGCCTCGTAGACAGCCGCCTCGTCCATAGGATCGCCCCTGCCTTTGTTGTCTCGAAGGAACGAGGCGATGACCTTTTGGGCCCTCAGGATGTTGGCTCTTGCCACCCGCTCTATAGGACTCATCTGCTGCCGGTCGCCAGCGACCCATCTGTCGCCTGATGTCCGGTGGAATCCTGGCCGCGGCCGCCCACGACCTAATGGTCGCACGTTCGCTGTGTTCTGTCCACAGCGTGCCGATTCCATTGAACAGCAGCGACACCCGCTTTCCCTCTTGGGTAGCCCACAGTTCCCCAAACAAAGCTTGGGACATAGCGGATGCCGTCGAGTAGTCCGCCATCCTCCGAGCAAAGGATCTCCTGTCTGCCGTGGGCCAGGCCAGCATAAAATCGCGGGTCAACATGCCCGCTTCCATGCCCATGTGGGTCCAAATCTTCCATCCAACCTCCAGCCAGTTGTACCTGCTCACCCAAGCCTCCTTGCTGACATAGAAGGGCAACAGCAGGATGCGCTTGCCTGGCCCCGATGTCTTGGACTTGTGGATGGTTCCCACCAGGTGTGTCTCTCGCAGCTCAATGCCGCGGTTTGGCGTGCCCCTCGTGTCGTCAAAGCGCACGCCAGTCCAGATCTTGACCAGGCGGAACCATGCGTATGCTCTTGAGAACGGCTTGGCGTCATCACAAAACACCATCTCCTCCATGGCCTCCACAATAGCCAATGGGATGAGCAACGCCTGCCGTGATGGCCTGATCTCCCGAGACGCCAGCCTCATGTGAGCTTCCTCGATGGCGTTCTTGACCGCCGACGAGCGATGTATGAACTCTGCCTCATTGACCTCGCCCGCGTACTCCAAGAACATGAGCGTCTTGTAAGCAGCCTCTGGTGCAGAGCGTGCGCAAGGTTCTTGCACGATAGCTTCGATGTACTCGGCGAAGTCTGTGGGCGAGGTGGGCCAAGACCAGCTGTAGGTGGACTGCAGCCACTGCTCCACCTTATGCCAAGTTTTGACATGCTTTCTCAATGTGTTAGGTCGCCTGCCCTTGGCGATCCTGAGCAGCAGTGATTCTTCACTCGAACGTGCCACCACTGGGAGCTTGGCCCTCTTCATGATGTCGCGAAGCTCGGACAGCCACCTGTCTCGCTCTGTCCTTTCGGCCAGCTCCCGCAAAGCCAAGTCCGTTCCAGCCATGTGCAACTTCTTCCCGAGTCGGGTTGGCCACTTCGTGACCTTTGCACTTCCCACCATCTTGATCTTCTCGATCACCTCCTTCTCCTCGAGGCCTTCGAAGGTCCGCCTTCTCTTCGCTCGCTGATCTGCCAAATGAGCCTCTAGTAGCTCCTGCGATCCTCGGCCAGCATCAGCTCGATGGATGTTCGCCGACCTGTTGTCGCACTGCCTCACCAGCTCGCGCAGATCGGCCACCGTGACCTCGAAGGCCTCCCTCTTCTTCTTTGCCGCAGCGAGAATCCCATCCAAGATCTCGCCACGGCATCCTCGCAGAGTTGCGAGCTTGGTGGCACTCCAACCCAGTGCCACCAAGGCCTCGACATCCGGGTCTGTCAACCCGGCCAGAGTGCCACACAACGCCAACTCTTGTGTGGCACTCTCCATTGCGGCGCAGCGGGCTCCCCCTACCACCTTCCAAGGGGGAGGCCTGAGCCGCAAACTGACGTTTGCTCCGTGACACTCCCCGTGAGAATCACGAGTCATCATATATATGTACAATTATATATAATCCCACCGAACACTTCCTTGTTCCGGGTATAAACAAAGGGCACTTCATACCATTCTATAGAAAACTGCTTCAATTTTTAATGTGCAAGACCAGCTACAGCCAGACTACGAGCATTAAAAACAGAACTTGTTTGAAATGGGAACGCAAAACTGCAAATTAAATAGTTATAGAACATGTCGGTGGCAGAAGAACTGAATACCCTCCGCAGCAATGAACCACAAAGCTGTTCCAGCGTGTGTGTGAACGATGTATGCCCTTGCCCTGTCAGCACGTGCTAGTGTTGGTCCAAAATGGTCCAAATATGTCCAACTAAAGTTCGTTTCACGAGGATGGAGCGAAACAATGCGAGACAAAGCCATCCTTCAGCTTCAAAACTCGCACTTTGGAACTTTGGCATGCACATATCCGTTCGAAAAGTACCAAGGGCCAAGCGCCAAACCCAAAGAGATTTGCTGGCACTGCGACAAATTGGCTCTGGAAACTGAAATGGGGCTAGTAAATGACGCATGACTTGGGCCCCACCCCTTTGATGGGAGTCAAGTCAATTCAAGGTGCACTCCAGACATATGCATAAGTTGCCTGGCCTGCGGGTCGATGGGCATCTGGCCTTGCACTGTCACACATGATGTGCCACCCACACAGAAATCGGCCACACAGCAAAAATCCTCTCATAAAACACCAGGCTCCTCGACTGTCATGTATCCACACGCGTTGCAAGTGCAATATTTCAGTTAAGTAGCAATGCTCAGCATTTGGAGCGAGCTTGCCCTTCCCTCTGCCCTTTTTCTTGTCCTTGGGAGCTCCTGAAGCCACGTCACCAGTAGCTTGAAAACTCGTGCGTGTGCTGGTTGAACAAATGCAAGTGCACCATCCAGGCTCTAAAGTCTAAACTCAAGTTGATAACGCAAGTGATTTCATGAACAACACGCACCTGGACTACGGGTTCCCACCAGCATTGCCCAGCAAAAAAGTCTCTCGCCCGTGGAGTCATGGGCCATTGCAGCCGAGAATCGCTCCACCAAGCCCTCTTGAGGAGAAGAAGCAGGAGCCTATCAACAGGTGGGCATCCGAAACGCAGGCACCGAAGATGCTCGGGACGCAACCCGCGCTCGTGTTGAAACGCCGCATAATGTGTTGCAAGTCTCAAGACTTATATAACTAATATACTAACCTTAGTATGTTGAGTAAATGTATGGTGCATCGAAGTGCACAGTCTTCCACTCTGTAGTGATTCAATTGTTCCGTGTTGCTGTGCTCCCCACTGGCAAATGAACAGGCATGAAGATGCAGTCTGCAATTGCCGCGGTGCTTGGACTCCAGTTGGGCGCACAGTCTTCAAGGGGGATCACTTCCTCCGGAGGTGGGCTGTGTGGTCGGGCCTCTGCAGGTGAAAAGTTGCTGCCCATTGGGTTCATCCTCTGGAGGCCGACCACAAACATCGGGTGCGAAGCGGTTGGCTGAATGAGTGATGTAACGGTTAGTAACGTGTTCGATTCCAAACATATGCGAGCGACATGTCTCAAAGTGGTATAAAGCATAAGGCAAACACATCATTCCCATCATGGGGTTCATCATCATCATGGGGTTCATGCCCATTGAAGGCCTTGGATTGAACAAAGGGCAAGCCACAGCTGGCCACAGCTGGCATGACCAAATTGTTAGACAAGGCGGCACAGAATCACGCACACTCCCCCTTAAACTTTCAATGCTGAGATATGAGATATCAGTCTGATTGCTTTCAAGGTGCATGCCCTGCATACTACCCATGCAAGGGTTCATGCCCATTGGCAGGCCCATGCCAGCGGGAGGCATGCCCATTCCCATGCCGGACGCCTTGGCGGAGAAAATTGGTCTCTGCATCTGACAAGGACCTGCTCCTGTTTCTTTGAACAAGAATGCTTTCATGATACATTCTATCGAGCTACGTGCTTGCCTTTTCTTGTTGCATCATGGTGATTTTTCCACCAAAAAAGCGGACTTGAGGCGCCAGCCATGCCTGGCATCCCCATGCCGGGCATCCCCATGCATCCGCCCAACATGCCACCACCTAGGCCATGGGATCTCTGCGTTGGCTTTGACTCAAAAGCGGGATCTCCCCAACCAATGGGTTTAAGCAAGTAGGGAAGGAAGACCCTGCAGGTTTGAGACAGGCCCGTGACCGTGTGAGGGATATATAGTCAAGATCCACGGGCCCCACAAAGAGGGCAAAAGACCTGTGGCGAGTAGCCAGACAAAGATTTGGTGCAGTGTCTGTGCCTATGTCCATCCCCGACTAACTGCAAGAGTCCAAGGGTCCCAAGCGAAGGTAAGAGAGACGTTGAAGAGTCAGTGAACATTCATTACAAATTCGCCTCAAACTCTCGTGGCCCTAATCAAGCGGATGGTTGTATAATCTTCATCATGCTTCATCTTATCTCATCTATTCCAAAGACATGTGTTCATGTGAAAAGCCCAACGCTTGTCGCTGAGCAGCTATCTCCTTGCATGATGCCGCGTGAGGCCGGCTGGCTTTCAGCTGTGACTTGAGCCCAGCAATTAGCACCGAACATTCAAGAATGGTCCGACCAACCACAACATAGGGATCACGGCACTCTCTTTCAAACACAGGTCCCTGGCCCCTATCATTATGGCATGACCACATCTTACACCATCTTACACCAAGCAATCACTGGACAGTCTCTCAACATGCAAATTCGTGTGTGTGTGGTCTATTGTTACAAATGTTGTAGCAGTAAAGAATCCGAACTTGGTGTTCTGCACTAGCCAGATGCTGCAACCCTCACGCAATTTCTGTCACACGCGCCGAGAGGACAATGCATCGTAGGCTTCCTGGATGCGCTGGAAGTCTGTGCTGCTTGAGTCTGCTTTCTTGTCCTGAAACAAAGCTTTGGCAGATGCCGGAAGCACGGAGAGATTGGACCTGGTTTGCATACGTTTGATTGAGGGATCTTTGGGCGAAATGCATTTGTTGAAAAGCATTCGGCTGAATGAAGCTGACCGAGTCACCGGGTGATGTTTCAGCGCAAGACCACCTCAGGATCGCAAAAAGCATCCGCCCTGCAAGACATAAGAGGACATGTTCCAAGACACAGGCCAAACTCCGATGGCCATTTGTTCTCAAAAACATGTGTTCCCCTTTCCAAGTGAACCAGCCGATGTTTTGCGGGCCCAAGGCGCGATACGCACGCCTCACCTCTTCCGGGCTGGCCGTGGGATGGAGGCCGAGGGTCTCGAAATGCCGCAGCAACTCGCGCGGAGCTGCAGACGTGTTGGTCTCAGCGTTGGTGACATCACGGTATCATTTCATGGAGTTGAGAATCAATGAGGTTCAGACTCAACATATGAATCTTAAGTTTCTTGATCCTTTATTTAGTCTATTAGCCCAAGTGTATGGATTTGGAGACCTCTTTCTGGTCAAAATGACTTGCCCAAGGCACCGCCGTTCGTGACGAGCGGGGACGAAGGTATCCATTGGAGAAGAAATACCTCGGAGAGGTGTGTGTGTGTGTGCGTGTGTGATTGTGTGTGAGATGCAAATCCAAAAGACGCTAGGGATGCAGTGGCTTAAGAACAGGATGGACAGCCCGGCGATCAAACCTACAAGTATCCATTCTTTGCCCATCGTCATGTGGCCGCATAGCGGCCGCTTCTTACAAAAGTAACAATGTCATGTTGCTATGCCCCGTTCCTGCCCGTCTAGAAGTGGAAAACTGTAGGTTTTGCTGTGACCAACGGTACCAGACTGGATGGGCTTTGCCATCCATCTGTTGCATTCTCCTACGTGGCAAAAAAGTCCTCGATATCCAAGTGGATTATGTAATTGATGCTTGTTCTTCTGTCCTTGGTCATTCCCCCAGCATTCTGGTTATGCAGCCAAGTCACTGTCGCAGCTCTGCATCATTCCAATGTACACTGTCTGGGCCCGGTGCAGGGCCACTGAAGCTGGGAAATTCCTGACAGTGAAAATGTGCACCTGGCACCTGCTCAACTCCACAAAGGTTTCACTGGCACTGTAATATCATATCATAGCACAATATCATTGGCAATGCCACAGGCATAGGATTTCAATACAAAGAGAGAGAGAGAGAGAGAAAAAAAAAAAAGCAATAGTGTTCTAATCGTCCTTGTAATGTGTTGTGATATTCTACGCTCCTTCAGCAACCGCTCCATACGGGCGTCGGACTTCCAGGAATCATCCGAGGGTTTCCCGGCCTGGTGTAGGACAAAATTCACCGCACCAAATCCACACAGCGTGGTTGCAAAACACCCTCGGTGTCTACGGAGATGGTTGATACTGATGCGTAGCAATTTAATATTCTGCAAGCATTGAGGTGCCAGTAGCACGTATAGATAGTCATCCTGGAGTAGATAGAACATGAACATACATGAACCAATCTACAAGCATGACCAGTTTCCTGCGCATATTTTCCTATATTCTCTGTCTCTCTCTCTCTCTCTCTCGCTCTCTCTCTCTCTCTCTCTCGCTCTCTGGCGGGCATGACTCGTCCACTTTCCAAGACGGAACCAACATGGGAGACTAAGATCGAACAAAACATCTGGAGGGACGTTCGACGAAAAGAGCGACGTGCAGGCAGAACAGCACAATGGAAGAAGAAACTAGGCCGCACTATGCTACCTAGTCCAGGATTAATATAAATACAGAACACGCCCCGAAAACCCTTGATCCGCTCTATACTGCCTGATTCTCCGCCTTTGGGGAAGTCGCCTTGGCTGCAGGCTTGGCCTTTGGCCTGGCCTCAGGCTGCACTTGAAAGCAAGGTTAATAGGATTCAATCCTGGGGAGGGCTTCGGGCCAAGCTCAGGCTATATGGTTGTCCAGTGAGGGAAAACGTTGGCCAAATCCCAAATTGAAGTTGGCCGGTCCAGTGGCACCGTTTGTTGCAGCCTATGCTTTTGCATGGACGGTGACGGTGCTCATGATGACCAATCCGCATGTCGCATCTCCTTGTTTTTTCGCGAACAGTCGGGGGCTGGACCGCTGATGGAGTGTCAGCCGCTTGGCCCACTTGGCTTGCAGCATCTGCCGGTGCGACAGGGAGCGGGCCAAACTCTCCTCAAAAGAAACATCAAAACAAGCAAAAGGGCAACTCGAGCATTGATGGAGCATTCAGTATTCAGATAATGCATATACATGACTATATTATTGCACATGGATGTGCATTGGATCAAAGCAACCCACCAACCAATGGGTGTGTTCGCCTACTCTTGCAGCCAACCACAATTGCAAAGACTCAACCAAATTCAAACTAATCTTGGTCAACTCTAGTCTCTCTGTCTGTCTCTCAAATCCTGGTCCTACTCAACTAATCCTCTCAGCTATGGACCGGGGCGAAGGCCAAACACCGCCTCCTTCAAGCGGAAAATGACGTCACATCCTCAGTGCACAGCCCAAAGGGGGAGATGGATCCGTGCATGTGAATGATCTTGACTCTGGATGACTCTGGCTTTGAGGAACAATGACAAAATATGACAAACCTACACACCAAACAAGGAACAAATTACTGAAGAAAAGGTTTGAATTTGTCATGGCCCTATGCTTTGTTACCTTTCCGCTTGCCTGGGCAATGCGGTCGTTTTGGAC